CGTAATGACGACATATGTACGACGTTTGTATATCGCCTGATGCATGGCAGCAGCGGCCGGGGATTGCCCAATCTCAAAGCCTCCTTTCCGCACAATTGTACAATTTCTGCCGGCAATGTAGGTTTTTCTCTCTCTCTCTCTCTCTCTCTCTCTCTCTCTCTCTCCCTCTCTCTCTCTTCGCTCTTCCGTGCTCTGCCGTTCATTGATTCATAATTGATAAGCATTACTTTTGCTATTGTTCGATTTATATACAAGTTGGCATTCATCTGCACACACACACACACACTTAAGCAGTGGGTTTTGCCTTAAGAAATGGCGGCATCTGCGCTGCTCAATTTAGCGTAAATTTTTGTTTTTTCTCTGAGTATTTCTGATTAATTTTATTGCTCTGTGCAATTACGTAGCCGACTTATGATTAAATATTACATTTGCATAAACAAGCTTCAAATCTTCTGGCCTGTTTCTTATGACAGCTTAATCGCAAGTGAACGAACTCGTATAAAAGACTTTTCGAGAATGTGCGGAGTAACTGGAGTGTGAGAATTTCCATATCTATAAAAAACATTCAGTTTTGATGTTCATTTATATAATTGTTATGTTTCCTTTCAAGACATGGCAAAAATGTTGATAATTGTTATGCTCATTATGCTTGTTGTACTCGAATTCTTTTAAATATTTATATAAAACTCATTTTTATTTGTGAATTTTGAATTTACACTGAAGCTAAACAATCATTGTAAATACCAAAATGGGTAATGTTCTATCCTCAAACTTGGCAGACTGAGGAAACTAAACACGTATTAAATAAAGTTTCTTAAGCTTCTTGGAAAAGAACAAATAGAAAATGCGTTTCAGGAATCTGTTTTACTAGCTTTGTAAAAATGTTTCTTAAAATAATTTTTTTTTTAATTTATTAAAATACTATATTTTATTATTAATACTATTTTATTAAAAAACATCTGTAATTAATAAGAGAATTATTTAATTGAAATGTTATCCTAGGCTACACACTTATTTTATTAACAGATTATATTATTTTAATTTGTCCCCCTTTTTATTATTATTAAAACACTATGTTCTCTTCACTATCCAAGAAACGGATATAATTGTAATTCATTTTTTATTACCAAGCCATTTATATATTTTACAAAAATATTATTTTCCATTTCAACTTATTTTATTCCAAAAATATCTTCGAGTCACTATCCAATCATTTTATTTTAATAATATCTTCTATTAAGAGCCTAAATATATTATTAAAATATTCTTTGACTATATATTATAATATTTTATTATACATTATTATACTTATTTTAGTATAAAATTATTTTCTCCCAACTTTCCTCTTTTCTATTAAAATATAATCTTCTTTTAATGACTTAATTTGTATAAAGTAATATCATCAATTTCATTATTAACTAATTCTTTTATTGCCATAATTTTTGAATAATTAAAGCAGAAAAAATTCTTCAATTTATTTAAATTATTACAAGCATTACTTTACTTCAAATAATATCTGAATATACTAAGTCATCACTTTTAATAAATGGTAGTAGCTCCTTTAACTACTCACTTTTCTGGCAAAATACAAATACAATTAATTCCGTTTTTCTTGGGCACGCTTTAATAATGGCGAAAAGGCACTAGAAGAAGCGACCAATATGGCAACATCAACTGCTTTTAATTAGACTTGCTGAACATAATCAACTGGCAAGGAGTTGAGGCTTCATAAGTTTCGCAAGTTGCGCTTCGCGAACTTTGGGCCCAGCCTCCATGGGCGCCATGGCTCTGCCCTGGGGCTGCCCAGGATGTTGTAGCCATAACGAACTGCATGTTGTTGCTGTTATTGTTGCTGTTGTTGTTGTTATTGTTGCTGCGGTTGTTGTTGCATGTTGTGCATTTAAAGTTTTTGTAGCGTGCAATGCAGGAAATCATTTTAACAATTTTCTACCTCAGCCTCAGCCTCAGCCTCATTTGCAGCGCCAGCTGCCCAGCCCAGCTGCTGCTACTCCTGCTGCTCCTGCAACTCCTGCTGCTGCTTTCTATACAAGTTCAGTGCACCCGCAAACAGACACGCGATGAAAAGGCGCTGCCGACGCGAACGTTGCTTTGTTATTTGTGTGCTTACTTGTTTGGCGCTGTGTATGTATGTGTGTGTGTGTGTGGGTGTCTGTCTGCGTTTTTCGGACTGCCTGCAGTCCTTTTTATTTGACGCAGCAGCAGGAGCAACAGCAACGCAGCCTTTCTTCCTTTCGGTAATTATGAATGGCCAACGGGCAGAAAAGGTATAAAAGTCATTCGCATGCAAGAGCAACCGCAAGAGCAACTCGCCCCATCGCCCCATTGCCCCAACCGACGTCACTTTGTTCAATTAAAAGTTTTATGCAAGCCAGTTATCTCTACTTATTTAATGCAGAGCCCGCGGCACGGTTAATCAACCCAGCTTAAAGGCCAACTGCTTCCAATCGCAGATCTCTGCCCACTCACTTGAAATTACAATTGCCCAGCCAGACAGCCAGACAGCCCGATGGCTGGCCTCGGCCTAGACACGTGTCGCCATTTAAATTCAACACCTCGCAAACAAATAAAGCACTTAAATATGCTGCAGCAACACGGGAAAATACTGCGAAATAACAATACAAGGTACGAACAGAAAATTACGGCCTGCAGCTGGGGCCAGGAGTCATGTGTGCTTGCGGCTCTGATTACACCTGAGCCGGAGCCAGATAGACCAAACTTCCCCCAGACTAATTGCAATGTAAAGTGTTTAGACACAATTTGGCAGCAGTAGCATGTAAGTGCTCAAGCATGGCTCCCTTACTCTCCATCTCACATTCTCTCTCTCTCTCTCTCTCTCTCTCCTGCTTGCAGATAAAATTGGCCAATTAAGTAGGTGGCTTGAAAGTTGTTGGGGCTTCTATTTTATTGCCCGTTTGTGTTCGGGCTGATTTGTCTACTTATAGCTGGCCACTTTTGCAATTCAGTTAGCAGCACACAAAATTCACTCGAATACCAGGCCCTGTCAAGCATAATCTGCAACTGCAGTTGGGGCCTCAACTGGGCCAATTGTGGGTGGTGCGAGTGGGCTCAGATGGACTTTAGCTGCGGCACCCGCACACAGCTTCTTGTTATACACATCAAGCAATAGCAATGGCAACTTTCACTTAATAATGCCTTAAGCAGGCCAGCTCCCATCCATCTCTCATCCGAGCTCTGACAAATAGCCGTGCAAGCCGAGCAGCCAACACTGCTAAGTGTTTGCCGTCGAAACGCTTTGATATACCGAATTTTTATCTGTGCTCTGAATGGACCGTAGAGAGACAGACTATTCCAACTAACTTTGATTTATGACAATTTAGTTCATTTGATTATTGCTGCAGAGAGAGAAAGAGAGCTGAGATGTGAGAGAAGTGAGCTCAGGGCAGTCAATGGGCAGCACATTTTGTGCTGTGTAAAACATTTTCATTTTCCATTCAAATTCAATGCTAATCTACTTGCCGGACAAGCCGAATTTTGGGGCGCGCCCGACTTGCCGGGCATCATTTATCATGGCGCCCGGGCACAGGCGCCGGGGCTCGTTTCGCAGGCAGTTGGGCGCGGCGGGTATTTGTAGTAGGCCAAGCGCATAATCAACACATAGGGTTCATCATTTTCACTCTGTGATACATTTAGATATAGTTCGTTTTATATATATATAATATATATGGATATAAAAATACGTTTTTTGTGTTACTCGCTTCTGTTTTTTTTTTTTTTTTTGGGTTGTCTGACAGCACGTGCAGCACATTAGGCTGTGGCAATGCCTTTCCATTTTACAGTCCGAGAGCTGCATGTGAAAACAAAGAGCCGAACGAGTGGAGGGGAGCGCAGCAAAGTTTAGCTAACTGGCCAGCCGTGCGTATACGTAACCAGGCTGACCCATAAAACTTATTTAGATATGCGTATGTGTGTATGTGTGTGTGTGTGTGTGTGTATGCATGCAGATTTCGCGCTGTCCCAAATGAGCAGCTGAGTGAAATTTTAGTCGAGTCGTGAGCGCATTAGTTATGCGCAACTTACACGCCATAATAAAATTCTATTACATTTCACAAAGCCGGCTCTCTAAAAAGTGTGAGAGAGGGACACAGAGTGGGACACAGAGTGGGACACAGAGTGAGTGAGTGAGCGAGCGAGAGCTATACTTCATACAGATTTGTCCCCATTTCACAGAAAATCCTGGCCGGGCTGCGCCTCATTAAGTATACTGCGAAAAACCGCCAAGTCTTTGAGGCAAAGCACTCGCCTGCTGTCGCTCATTTCAATCTCTCTGTATGTGTTTCTGTGTGTGTGTGTGTGTGTATGTATGGGTGTGTTTTTTGTCTGCGGTTTTAATTTACTCTTGCTTCATAGGACTCTGGCTCTGTTGTTGCCACTTCTCACTTCCCACTTCTCACGCCACGTCGCAATGTCGCCGACGGCAGCAGGTTAAGCTTCTACTTGAACTTCTAAGTGTTGGTGTTACACGAGCTGAGGTGTTGTTTGGCAACTGCCTTTGACGTCTGTGTGTGCGCTGACTCCCTGAGTGCATGTGTCTCCCACAGCTGTGTATGTGTGTGTGTGTGTGCTTGTGGCATGTTTGTGTGTTTGTCTAGTGGCTGGGCATGTCCGTCTAAGCTTTGGATTCTTTCACTGAGGCTCTCAGAAATCGCCATGTTATTTGCAGCTTTCAGTTATTAGGTTTGCTGCAAACCGGAAGCCTTTCCACATCTCTCCACATGGAATGGAATATGAGCGCCTCATAGGCGTGTCAAATGACGTGAGGCTCTTTAAAGTCTAGTCTGCTCCACGTTGATGAGCAGAAAGCAATTAAGAGTGCAAAAAAATGGCATTAGAAGACAACGAGAAAATCGTCTGAGAAATAGAATGGGGAAAAGCGCAAACATTTCTCTCGGAGTTAACGAACAAATAAAGAGGAAGATGAATGATTGATTAAACGTAGTAACAGAACTTATGAAAACTCATTCACCATGGCCAGCAACAACAGCATTTATATTTAATTGCGTAAGCAAAGGAAAAACAGATCCGATATCTTCTCTCCCTCTCTGTCTCTCCCTCTCTCTTATATGCGAATGCCAAGCAGCTCCTCCATGATAATGTGCGGCGAGCGCTGTGGCTGCTCATAGTCGGGCCGCTTGAGATAATCCGCAAAGCTGATCTCGCTGCAGCGGCCAGTGAGCACATCGTCCATAAGGTTGCTGGAGCGCAGGAAGGGCAGTCGTCTCGTCTGGCTGACAGAGAAGCGTTCCATGCACATGACCAGCGGCAGCGCCAGGCCCATCTGGTTACGCAGCATTTGCAGGTCCTGCATATACTTATATTCGTCGTAATAGATGACAGGGTCGGGCAATATCTCCGGCAAGGCCAATGCGGTGAGGCAATCCGGCTCACTGGACGGCAGACTATCCTTGGAGGCGCTCACCTGGTTTACTTCCATTTCCAAGAGAACTACTTAAAAAGATGATTTTATGTTGAATATTATTGTTGTAGTGGATAGAGTATTGACATGTTGTATGAGTAGGATCGGAGGTTGACGGAAAAAGCTTTTGGCTGTTGTTTATTTTATTATTATTTCATTTTGTCAAAATGTTTTTTTTTTTTTTTTTTTTTATTAAATTTCTTTTGTACATAATTCATATATTTATAAGGAGCTTCATTGTTAGGTATGCGTGTAGTTAAAAGTATTAATAGCAACATTCTACTTCAACAGAGCACAGATATTGAGCTCTACTCTCTCGCTTCGAGATGCTTTCTGTCTTCATTGTGAGTCGAAATAAGGTAGTACTGGCATATATCTGTGAAAAAGTATAGAGAGTCCAGAGTACAAAAGTCGAACTAGTAGGTAATAATGTCGTCTCTAAGGCAGATAAAGAAGCAAGGAGATAGAAAACAAGAATTTTAAATATTCTCTAGTTATTACAACATACATATATTCACTCAACTACTTCAAAGGATTAAAGTATTTTAATTAAAACGAGTTTCTTTTCAATACTGAGTTAATAATAATAATTAAGTTCAATATACTCGTCTTTTTTTTAAGAGTATTTTAATACTTCTTTAAATGATTATACACGATTCAAGGACCCCCTTTTAAATTATTAAATAATTTATAAACACAATTTATGGATTGAAAATATCCTTATTCTATATGAATTGAAATACATATCGAAAAATAGTAATTTATAGCTGCGCATCCATATATAAATATACATATATACATATGAACTAAAGTGTGTATGCATTTTGCAATTGGGCTTATCAACTTTCACCTGAGTTTTCGGCATGCGCTGTGTAATTAATTATTTGCGCCACTAAGTCGAGCCATTTCCATGCCAGACGCATATATAGGAAGGACCGCAGGATGGCAGCCACCGTCAGAGCCACCGCCAACGCCAGCAACGTCGCTTGCTTTTTGCATAATTCAACCACTGGCAGGCGGGTCACGTAGACAACGCAAACGGCGTGATTAGGGTTTTCGGCTCAGCCGAAGCGTTCAGCGGCCAAAGATCCTGTCCAGGACCCGGGCTCAGACTAACCACAACATGTGTGCCTGTATAAGTGTATATATACGTGTGCCTACGTGTTCGTTTGCTCGTGTGTGTGTGTGTGTGTGTGTGTGTGTGTGTGTGTGTGTGTGTGTGACTGCGGTGGCTGTTGTTGTTTATGCCGCTGGCATCATTAATACCCAAATCAAAGTTTGTTTGCCTCTAACACAGTTGTGTAAAACATTTCAGTTTAAATGCTGAACCGAAGCAAATGTCAAGAGCCCTTTTAATTATCCATTTTTATTGGCATTTGTCGTAGAATCTTTTAATTTCCCCATTTAGTTAAGCTCAAGTTAATTCAATTATATATTTCAATCAGAAATTCAGCATGATATGCTTTAGAAATACGAAAAATACTGCATAAAAAAATGAATAATAAATCAGCCCAAAATAAATATTTCAAAGTAATAATTAATGCCAAAACTTGTGTGAATGAAATATAAAATATATGTATATAAATAAATGGGACTCAAGCAATTTAAATTTAAATTTTATTCTATAAATAATTATTTATATCCTTTTTAAAAAACATAAATATGTGTCTCTCATGAAATCCACATATAAATAAATAATTATTTATGTAATTTATAATTTATAGATCTTTAAAAATACTTCAGGCATTAATAAAAAAAAAAAATTTTAATAAAAATTGAATAATAACTTTTGCAAAAATATTTTCATTTAGAGTTGCAGTCAATCTCTGTCTCTCTCTTTCTTTTCTCCTCTCTCTCTCTCCTTCTCTGCCTTTCTATCTCTCTTTCTCTTTACTATACTCTCTCTCTCTATATACTCTCTTTCTCTTTGCTATGCATTCCGAGTTGATAAATAATTGTGCAAAAATCAACGAAAATAAACCACGAAATGTTGGTAAAAAAAAAGACGAGCAAAAATAAGCATTAATTAGCTTGAATGCCGCAAATATTGATTGCGTTTATTTGCGAGCGTGTCGAATCGTGTGTATGTTAAATAGCTGCGGACTCAAACTCAAATTTGAGTCCGTTTTGCTGACTAAGGCTTCATTAGTCGAAACTTCTTAATTGTTTCATTAATGCAATGCAATCCGTTTGCTTGGCACTTAATTTAATTTTATTTGCTGTCACTGCTGCTGCCATCCCATCTCCTGCTCCCGCTCCCGCTCCTGCTGCTGCTGCTGCTGGTGCTCCAACTCTTGCTGTAGTTTTTAAATAATTGTGCTCAATTATTTCACCCAATTTAACATTTCCCCGACTCTCGCTCTATGTGTGAGTGGGGATTTCGTGCTTACTGTATACATTTAAATGACGTCATTTATATTCCGGCGGGATAAGCACTTGATGTAAAATTACTGGCGACGAGCGTTTGCCGGAATAAAAAAAAAAAAGAATAAAATAACGAAAACAAAAAGAATATTCAATTAAACCCGTTTCTTCGCCGAAAACACCGTTGACAGCGCTTATTAATCTGACGTCATTTCTTTCGGCCCGTACCCCGTCTGCAGCTCACCGCCCCGCCCCCTCCCCATGCAGTTTTTTCGTTGTGAAATTTAATTAATGTAATTGTTATTACCACAAGGCTTTCATGTTTGCTCTCGCTGTCCACTCGCAGGCCTAATAAAAATGTATACCTGAGCCTGATGCGGGCTGCGAGTGCGGTTGGGCAGAGTGAGAGAGAGGGGGAGAGAGAGGGGGAAAGAGAGAGCGAGGCGCCATAGAAATGGCAATTCACTATTTGCATGAAACCCAACCTCAAGCGCCACTCAAACAGCGGCCCGAGCACTCCAGTCCCGTTAGACTTTTGACCATATTTTGCATTTATGCGCATGAAACGCGCTGCTTAGCTTTATTTTGTGCTAAGGGGTATTTTACTTAGTATAAACCACCTGAAATTAATGCTAGAAAATGCTAGAATTTAATTGGATTGCTTAGTCTAAAATTGATACAGTCATAATGTTATCTCTATTATAATCTAAGTAAAAAATGCAAATAGAGTGCATTCGCTAGTCAAAGTTAACTGCTCTATGTTTCCCTATTTCGCTTCTCTTTATTTTATTTTTTTTTATTTGATGCCATACACCATTTATATGAATATATATATACATATATACAGAGAGCATACACTATATAGTTTTGCGCTTGGCAGAACGCGAAATTTGTTTTGGCCAACCAAAAAAGCCAACATCGTCAAATTTAAATGAATGACTGCAGTGGAAATGCAACTGCCAGTCAGTCAGAAAGAGTTGAAGGTTTGCACACTTTTCTCATTTTTTTCTGTCGGCGCTACTTGAAAATAATAAAAAGCCGAAAAGCACATAGAAAAAACTGGGCGAAAAAAGCATTGCCTACTTTTCAGCTGAAGTGCTGCGGCTGGCTCTGCGGCTCTTTTGCATTCGCAAATGGCTGGAGTCATTTATTTGAAACAAATCATTTGCCATACCAGCGAGGCAGCTGCCTAGACACTTAAGCATCGCAAGGATCGCAAAAAGGCTGACAAGTTAAAGCGGCGGTGGATCATTAAAGCCAAGGCCCGCGCCATGGCCCGCGCCAACTTTGGTGGGCCGGCAGGCCAATTTTTCAAAAGCACACGAACAAGAACTTTGACTGACGCTTGTCGCTTGCCATTCCAAGATAAACTTCGCTCTGGTTCGAAACTTATTGAGGCGCAAACACTTGGACGGGGTCCCCCAACAGCTGTCTGTCGCTATCTGTACCATGTACACACACAGAGCGAAATAAGTTGTATTATGCTATATAAAGAGTGTCTAAAATGTGTAGATATAGAGCCGTTGAGTGAACAAGACATTATTTTTGATTTTTATGTAAACTTGCTAAATAAGAAATATTATGGAAATAATATAATATATATCATTTTTATATTTTAGATAATGTTTATTAAGCCATACGGGGTACTCCAGTAATCCTTTGGTGAGCTTGCTGGATATAATATTTATATTATTATTATTATTATTATATATTATTTAAAAATTTATAAGAAATATATTTTATATATTTATTTATTAATATATTTTATATATATTGGTGAACTGATAAATAAAAGAAATGATATTATTCTTGATTTTTGTATAAGCTTACTGAGTAAGAGGTTTTTAGGGAATAATAGTTATTATTTCAGATGTACTAGAAATAATTTATGGTTAATTTTTAACAATATATTTTAAGTTTTACTATAAACAATTTATACGAAATATAAATTTAAACTGAGTGTTTATTTAATATCCTAAAATAAATGTTATCTTATATTATTGTATTTTAAAGTTATCAAGGTATGTGTCATTAACTGTAATATTTGCTCATAGAGAAAATAATAAAATTGTCCAAATTAAAGTTTTATTTCTATTTGAACTTGAATTGTATATTACTTAAATTGTAAGATGCCTTTTATTTTGTAATATTTAACACATATTCGGAATTGAATATGCATGCTAAAATATTTGGAAATATTCCTTACATTATTAACTTTTTCTAATGCAGAAAATAAACGAAATTTTAATAAATATTTTATGACCCTTCTATAAATTGTTTTTATTTTTATTTATTAAGGTATAAAATATATTAAGAATATGATTTTTGTTTGTTTATTTTTATACCCTGAACCCATTTTCAATGGGAAATCAGGGTATAATGGTTTTGTTGAAATGTATGTAACAGGCAGAAGGAGGCGTGGCAGACCCCACAAAGTATATATATTCTTGATCAGGGCGACGAGCTGAGTTGATTTGGCCCTGTCCGTCTGTCTGTCCGTCTGTCCGTCTGTCCGTCCGGCCGTCTGTCCGTCTGTCCGTCTGTCCGTATGTATGAACGCGTCGATTTCAGAAGATATAAGAGCTAGAGACTTCAAATTTTTTTTAAAATGTTCGTAATTACAGCGCGCATATCAAGTTTATCATTAAAAATCGATAACTCATCCCGATCTTTTTTTATCGATAAAAAACCTTATAGAAAACCAGTTATAAAATTATATCTTCTACACCTTTATTGCTAGAGTCTCCAAATTTTTTATGTATACT